AATCTTTTACTTAATATAATGGCAGTATTGGTTTACCTTAATAGAACTGTGTTACTCTTAAGATTTTTTTTTTGTTATTTGCAAGTATTCTGTTATGTACAAAAGGTGTGTTCCAACCTCCAAATTTCAGTATAGATCAATTATTGATGTTTTAACTTATCCTCTGAAATGGACTGAAAAGCAAAAGTTATAATTTTCCCTTTCTTTAGTAATTACTGCTACAGAACGTGTTAATGAAGTAACTTAGAATAACAAGATCTTTTTTTTTTAATAAACAGATTTTCATAACTTTTCCATTAGGTTTGAAATACCTGCACAATGAAAACACTATATTTTGGATTTTAAACTATTTCAACTATTATACTTAAAAGGGACTAGCAGAAGAGGAGCTATATGTGTTTCAGAATTTCTCATTAGAATAGCTGCAGTTGTAAATTAATGGATAATAAAGTGTGTTGATGACTAGGTATCACATAGCCTGTATTCAGGCAATATTCTTAAAACATTAGATATTGTGGTGTCTCCATATGCGCATGTGTTGGACTTCTATTTAAAACACTTGGTAGTCAGTAGTTAATTGTGAAAGTCATTAAAGTAGTACTAGATTAAAAATAAATAGTAACCATATAACTTATTGTAACAAGTGTATAGGGATAGATGTGAGAAGCAAAGTTAAATGTAGAACTTTCCTGTAAGTTTCTGTGCTGTATTTGTACAAGTGACATTTATGGGTGTTTTTTTTTTTTAACAATCTCTTTGGCTTATGTATTTATTTTCAAAATAGATTTTGTGTTTATAAATCCTACAAGTGGATGTTGCAATATACCTCTGTATGTTGTTTACATGAGTAGTTTATCATTTGCTTTTAAACTGTTAAAGGTTTAGAGGCTCTGTTTCATTTAAAAGTCTTTTTTTTGTATTTGTGCATTTAAAAATACATTTTCTGTTGTTTTTTCAGTAGTATTTAACTTAAAATTGCTGTTCTGATGGCATCAAATTGATTGAAAGATTTTTTTGGATATTCTTCTTTTTAGATTGCAACCAAATCTACTCTACAGAAACAAATTAAAATAATGTGTAGTTCCTGAGTAAGGAACCCAGATGCATCAGTTTTATTGGAGCATATAGTCTGCCAAGAGCATTTCCCCTATGTAAATGCATGTTACTTTTTCTTCCAAAATTAATCTCATCAAATTCTTGACGTACTGTGATGTTAATTCTGAACCGTTATGACAGATGTAAACTTAAAAATCAAGGATAGTAGTAAGGCATGTCCAGCAGCACCATAAGGTGTTACAGCGTGGCTTGCTGTGGAAGTGTTAGTCCCAAAGAGATAATGAGCAATTACAACTTAGTAATTAATGCCAAGCATGAGGCAAACTTGTTAAATCTGTCTTGAAAAACAAAGAGCCTTTGGTACCTTTTCAATCACTTGTAGTTAGTACTTCATTGGTGCCTTTTTTCTAATTAACTTTTAAGCACTGAAGCAGATTTGTATCTGCTGAGTGCTTTTTACAAGTGTAGTCTGTCAGTCACTGGTGTTGTAGCTGAGGGGTTTGGGATTTGGCAGTGGGTGGACAGGAAGTGTCAATAATGACCATGTTAATGTCCATCTTCATTTGTGTCAAATAGGAAGCACGTGGTGTGAGTTAATTCTGTACTGTACGTGTGTGTGTGTGTGTGTGCGAGGAGAGAGGATCAGATGCAGAGGAGCTCATTATCTGTTATATGATTTAGGGATTTGGTCAGATGATGTTTGGGTGTTCAATTTTAAAATAGAATAGAGGGCCTATTATTAAATTCAGTTTGATCCTTCTTTATACTGTCTGTCAATGGAGCTGTGCTAAGTCATGTGTATTGTTTATCTGGTTAATGAGTCACAGATGGTGGGATGCTTTATTAGTCGGCTACTTTTTGAGTGAGTTTGGATAAAACTTAAGCATATCTGTGTGTGTGCCTCAATTTCCTGAGTTTAAGACCCTTGAAAGTAGCTGTTGTTTGTAAAAGCAGGTATCTTGATTTTCTCCTTTCAAATCTGTTTTCTTACTGCTGAGGCAATGTCTATCCATGCAGTTTCTGTTCCTGTATTGTAATGAGACATGCCAAGCTTTGCAACACTCCAAGCTTTTGGGACCCTACTAAACACAAGTGATATTAACGTCATTTAAAGGAATAGAGCGTCTTATGAAATAACAATTAGTCTAATTAATGGTGGATGTATCACAGTAAAACTGCTAAGTTGTTTTTAATTGTGTAAAGTTAATGGCCAAGTTTCTTAACATTAGTAATTGGAAGAATGTTGTAGAACCAAAAAAAAAAAAAAAATCATCTCCACTTCATAAAAATGAAGCTAATGCGTTTTTCTTTCTGATTGTTTGGACTTTTTTAGGCTGGTCCATATAGGCATGTTTCACTAAGGTTCAGCTTTTGGTTAAGGGCCTGAGCCTTTACAGGATTCTAGCTAATTCCAAAACTAGCACATTTTATTCTGAATGTGAAGTGTGTGCCTCCGTATCACAGACTCACAGCATCCACAGGGACACTGAGCATGGAACCGAGTCTGAGCAGCTCATCAATGGCAGCAGCAACAGAGCGAGAAAATTATCAGTCAGCTTCGACAACGAAAAGATTTGACTGCTGGAGCTCTTTTGAGGGAAATCCTGGTAAAATGTCAAGGTGTCTGACTGACCTCCAACTTTATGATCTGTTTTTTGTTTTTGTTTTTTAATTTTTCTTCTTTTTTAATCCTTCTGAAGGGCCTGGTAAAGATCAGATTTCTAAGCGAAAAAGGAGTTAACTTGCAAAACTTACCTGCCGTTGTGATTTATTTTATTTTCAGTAGGTCTGTTCTATTATAAGTGTAAGAGAAATGGTGCAAGTGTGTGTGGTGTGTGTATGCATGTATAAACATATACTTATCTATGTGGTGTGAGTCTGCAGTGATTCACAAATGCTTCTCTTTAGTCGACACAAATTAGGTATTTTTAAGAAGGTGAATGCTTGATATATGTAAAGTGCCTGCAATACAAAAATTGGAAGGGCTTTGAAGTAAGTAAATTTCTAAAGCAAAATGATCAGAATTATGTATTTCAGTGGGGTCAAAACTATTGCTATCAAGAATTCGGGAGGGACTAGGGGTTTATTTTTTCTTTCGTTTTCTTTCAAGCAGGGTCCCTGTCTTGTTCCCTTCTCGCTCTTATCCCCTCCTTCCCTCTGACCTTCAGGATTTTTCCCGTTGCATTGATTTTGTTACTAAAAGTTACTCAGGTTTTACTTGTGCATCTACTTAATTTCAAATCACAGAGGAAAAAGCCTAAACTGTTTAAACTGATGTCTGATCTTAACTGGGCATCCATTCTCTCTCTCTTTCTCTCTCTCTCTCTCTCTCTGTCTCTGTCTCTCTCGATATATCCCTAGAAAATGTATTTCAAGTGAAACGCCTGGCAGAGCTGGTTATGGGTTGGTAGTCACTTGTACAGGTGACAATCTTGACTACATTACAATAATTCTGCAACATTGGAGACAAAACTTCCCAGACTTGTCAGTGTTAGAGATGCCCTGAAAACAAAAATTTCTCTTTGATGGAGCAATTCTGAGAATGTACTGCTAATTTGGGACGACAAGGTCAGGCCTGGCAATAGGGCTTGAAACCAAATTGGAGTTGTGCATGCCAACACAGTAACAGCAAACGCTGTTGCTACAAAAGGTGACTGACTGCACTAAAGCAAAACCTTGTTGCCTACTAATTTACAAGTTGATGTTAGCACACAATGCCAACTGCTTCTTCCCTTGTTGGAAGTGAAAAGCAAGGGATAACTACCTCCTAAATGTATCGGATTGGAAATTCTTATGCAACTGACAAGTCTTGGACACTAAATCCCACACTGATGTCAAATAGGCATTTGGTGCTATATTTGGGTTTGGTGACAGCAGAATTCCACTGAAATAGAAGTAATGAAATAAATAGCGTAAGTAACAAAAAGTTAACTATTTAATGTGTTCTTTCTCCCATTTAGGTCAAGGTCAAGGTCGCCTAGGAGAAGAGCTCACACGCCAGAAAGGCGGCGAGAGGAAAGGAGCGTTCCGACGGCGTATCGCATTAGCAATAGTCCTGGAATTAGCAGGAAACGCACACGCTCCAGGTGAGGGTACCCAGTCCTGGGGAGCCTTATCTGCCAGCCTGGGAAAGGGCTTGAAACATGCACACGTTTGCAGAAGTAAAGTATCTGCAAAGTGTGTGCCCCAAAGCCTTGTCTTTTGCACCTCTAATTGCAGTGTGGAAGCAAGTGCCAATCATTCCTGTGCACACGTACATGTGCACATCCAGTGCGCGTGTAACTGAGCACGTGGAGGTTATTAAGGGAGGCATACAGAATTTTTCACATTGCATGAAGATTGCTTAATGTGCTTCTCCATATCTCATGTGGAATAAGAAGCAAAGAGCTCGTTTTCATGATTTTTAAGAATACTCTTTTGTTTTTTAAAGCTAACTTGAAATCGCTGTCAGCCTCTAATTGATACGTGGTATATAAACGACAGCTTCAATATACTTTGAGGAGCTTTTGTGTTCATCAACTTGAGATAATAGAAGCTTGTGTACAATTCACCTCGCAAATCTGTTTAAGCAGAAAATATTCAGAAGCTTAAAATGTTTTTTTTTCTCTATAAAGGCAAGAATTTTTCATATCCCTGTGTTATTTTTTGAGTTCAGAGATCTGTGTCAGTTGCTTGACCGTTCAGCAATTTGTTGTGAATTACTTTTTATGATTTATTGTGAAACAAACTAGATTCTTCTTTAAACAATGTTGTTTGTATAGACAAATTTAAAACTTCTGTTAGACATCCAACAGAAAACAGTGCTATTTCTTCCATCTACCTTTTTTGCATTTACTGCTGTATTTTATTGTGCGTTGTTCTGGAGTTAAACATAGATGAGGATATATTGCATCTCTGATTGCAGAAAGCCAGCTGTTTTAGTACTCTTAGCACTGACTTATTAATTTTTCAAGTGAAATGGAGATGCTGTGATGGACCAGTTTTCACAGTCTTCAGTTGCAGAGTGCGTTTTCGACAGTGCTGTAATGGAAGGAAGCTTTGGGTGCAGGCTCTGTTTTAAGCTAGTTTACTTGGCCTTTCTGTGAGTGAGTAGCGTGTATTTGGCCTGAGAGCAGGTATGAATTTTGTTTGACAGCAGTCAGCTGAGCGGTTATACTAAGAAATAGGACACCTTAAAAATCCAGCAGTTTCAAAGGACTGGAAAGTACCCTAGAATTAATAAATAGTCCTGCGTTTGAATCTGACTAATCTCCAAAGCAAGTTATTGGTAATGCCCAACAGGTCAACCCACCTCTTTACTGTGAGGGTGGCTGAGTGGCCGAGCACTGGAATGGGTTGCCCGGAGAGGCTGTGGAGTCTCCGTCCTTGGAGATCCTCAACAGCCAAGCGGGCGCCGTCCTGGGCACCCAGCTCTAGGTGACCTTGCTTGAGCTTGAGCAGGTTTTGGCCCAGATGAGCCCCAGAGGTCTCTTCCAAACCCCCAACTATTCTGTGATTTTACAGTTTTAGATTTTGAATGTTAACTTCTATATAAAAAATCAGATTTTCACATGATAAATTCTGAGCGTCAGAGATGGTATTTATATGTAAATTCATTGTGTTGTAACATAGTTTTATATTGCACATATATTCCATAGTTTGTTCATTTGTCGGCTAGGAATATTATAGAGGACATAGGCTCATAATACATCAACTCTCTCACATTGTTCAGGAAGGGACTTTCCTCTTTCACAGTTATTTTGCAAGTCTCCAATGACTTTTCTCTGTCTTCCTTTGAACTAAAAATATGAAAAAGTAATTTCTGTGTATCTATAAAGCAATATTCAGGTAAGGAGCTCAGGAACCTCAACTTAGCCCAGTATTAGGTTGCCAAACCTAATGTGACTTAAAAAGGGCTGCTGAGTATTTTATGTGAACATCAAAGTGCAGTTTGTGCTCAGTGCATGAGAAATATCATGTGGAAGAGGGTTACATTTAGAAACGTCAAGAGCTTCCACCCAGCTAGTTTAATTCTGCTTTATATCTCCTTCAATAAATTATTTCCTTCTCACAGGAGTCCCCATGAAAAAAAGAAGAAGAGGCGGTCTAGATCACGTACCAAGTCCAAAGCTAGGTCTCCTTCACCACCTGCGTCACCAGGCAAACCATCCACACACAAAAATTCTGTACATTCAACTAGTGTCTCTCCTGTGGAGAGTAGGGAATCCAGCCAGGAACGCTCCAGGTAATGCATTTTCTTTCTGTAATATGGCAGTGCTGACATCTCTTGGCCATGCTTGTATCTTTTGACCTAACCTGTATGATGAGAAGGTTATCTATATGTAAATATATATGCGTGTGTATGTGTGTGTTTAGGGTATTTAGTTCTTTTTCTTTCGTTTTAAAAGTAGAAGACACTGGTAGGACAGGCACTGTGCATCAGAGTCTAATGAAGACGTTGCATCTGTTATCTGCTGAAGTTTTTATGCAATCCAGTGAAACTTCAGGATTACATTTCAAAAACTGGAAGACTTCTAACATTACGTATGCTATCCCTACTATTTTAACAGGAAAAATGGAGAAATTTTGTCAAAAATGTTTCCGTTACCTCTGAGGTGAAACATGATTATTTAGTATGGAAGACAGGAGTTCAAGGAGTTCAAACATCTTGACATACTCATAAAGCAAAACTTGCACTGAACGTTCTACTGCTTAATTCTAAGTTAGCAATTGGTAACTAAATATGTTAACTGAAGTAGAATTTTAAGGGATTGCTTTAAATTGTAATGTGTTTGAGGGATTCAGAATTAATTATTTCCTTTAAATACAATACTTCTATTGAAAATCCCTAGCCTGCTATTCATATTTCTCTATGATACCAGTTGCATGAGTAATTCTTCTAAATATGACTTACAGTGGCTTCCAGTAGAATGAGGAGACTGTTGACTAATATAATGCGTCTTGTACCATAAAGCCCCAAATCACGATGCTCAATGAAATGAATCTTGAAAGCATATACCGTGCATTTCTAATTTTGGTTTTATCTTTTTTTAGGGGAGTTTCTCAGGAAAAAGATGGCCAGATCTCTTCAGCGATTGTTTCTTCAGTGCAGAGTAAAATCACTCAGGTACAAGCAAATCCAGAACATCTTGCCTAATTAAGTCTTTCCGTCATGTAGTATTCTGCATTTGATATCTTGTACAATTGTGAGCTTTGCATAGGATGTAGAGATGTGCTCATTGTCATTCTTAATCCGTTTGTTTATCAAAAAAAAATTCTCTAGCTGTTGTCTTTTCAAGTGTCACCAAACCTCTAAAGGTCAAGCTCTGTTTAATGCACTGTTAAGAAAGTTCACCTTCTGCAGGAACAATCCATCAGTTGCCAACAGCAGGTATTATTGAGAGCCGTTCTTGCCAGGTAGTATTCCTGACTTATTTCGTGGAAGGAAGAATGAAGGAGAATCACCTTTGCAGAGGTTAGGTTTGTAGGGCTGGCAACAGAGGAAAAATCTGTTGTCTTGTAAGCTAAAGCAAGTATGCTTTGCCTTGAGCAGTATCTTCAAGTCAGTGATTTTACCCTTGTTGCTGTTTACATATGTGAACTTTTGTTGCTATGATTGTGTTGATATATTCTGTACTTGCTGTGAATCACTGCATGACTACCTGTGAGTAATAGTATTAAGTGTAAGGCTCGGTGTGGTGTGCAGTGAACTACAGGCATTTGGGTTCCCTAACAAACATTACTGGTACGTATATTTCTTGTATTGGATGTTCTTTCTGGCACAACATCTGCAAGCTGGTAGTGGTCTGCTTGCTGAAAATGCAGATGTAAGAGAAGGAAAGATTAATATGCGACTGAATTGGAATTCAGCTTAAAATGTCCATGACCAGCATCTTCCAAAATGTGTTAAAACATTTTACTTAGCAAGATTGTTTTGCTGCCAGTTTCCTAGCTTCCTCTGGCCAACTTCTGTATGTTTTCTCATTCAAATTACCCCATCTATAACATGGGAGTGATGATGCTGAATTACCATGGAAGTGTTTTGAGAGCTTCAGGTGAAAATTGTTCAGTAAGAACCAGGTATTTTAATCAACCTATGTTGCATTTATAAAGAAATATTTTAAAGTAATTTGTAACTCATTACTGACAAATATTTTTGTGTTATTCTTTGCAGCCCAATTTTCTGATGCCATTTACATGAAATTTCATTTGTTATTATAATACTGTTGCCACTGAGTGCTCAGACATATTTGAGAGTTGCTATTTTGTTTCACCACAGTCTTGTGTTTCAGTCTCTCCGGTGTACATAGAAACCCCATAGCACTGTAAAATTTGTTTCAACTTTAAATGCCTTTTGACCACAATATTTGTAACTTTTTTTTTGAGATTTTTCAGTTATGACACTGAGTATTCTATGTGACTAGAGCATAAGGTAGCAGTTTCATTCAGCTCTTGGCTATCACATGCTTCAGCTCTTTAAAGCCCGTGCAAGTCTAATCGTTTTCCTCTTATTTTCTGCAGGATCTTATGGCCAAAGTGAGAGCAATGCTTGCAGCTTCCAAAAACATACAAACCAGTGCCTCCTGAGACCCATTGAACTGACCATGGAGAAATTGTGGGGGAAAAAATACATAAAAACTGCCTCATCTCAAATGTACAGCTGAGCTTAGCTCACTTGGTTCACAACTCCCTTGTGTAATATTATCAGAACTTAAGGAGCTAAAACCTACCTTTCTGTACAGAACTGTCTCCTGGGAATTTCATTGAATTTTTTTCAGACAGAATCTCTTTGGAAAGTTCTTGTTTTTTTGTAAATTGATTTTTTTGACTAATTCTTCAGTAACATTTTATGATCAGCAGTCTATATGTGTATATTTGTAAATATCATGTTTCTGTGATAAGGTATTACACAATAATAAAGAAGGAAACGCCTTTCATTAGCTACAGAGTTCTTGTGGAGTCTTTAATTAATTAACTTCTGTTAAAATTTCCGTATGTTCTTTAATACCTTATTCTTTTAAAGTAGCAAATAGATGCCTGAGGGAGCAGTTTGAGCAGAGAAACACTACATCTTCCTTTGTGGACACAGTGATCTAAGGATGCAGGTTTGGGCATGTTAGTTGTGAACAGTTTTCTGCACAGGACCATAATTTTCTGTCCATCATTTAGCATGGACTGTGAGCCTTCATTTGAGGTGCTGACCCTCTGAATTCAGCAACTAGTAGTCAGTAGCTTCTTTTTTATGTCTCTCTTCTCTCTAGCTATCTAGAGAAGCAAGTATATTTTGTGGTCATTCAGCAGACATACTTAAAAGAAATTTAGCATTCTTCTAAATAAGTATATTTCATACTTTGGAGGAAGATTGTAACTAGCTTATATGAATTTCTGACAGATACCAGTTAATGCTTTTCAGAAGGCTTGTGAACTCGGTATATTTCAGTGCATTTCGGTGCATTTATTATGCATTCTGTGAGTACAGTGAGATTTTAATTATTTTTTATGAAAATGATCTGAAAGGTAGCTTGAAAGCAAGTATATAAAAAAGCAATCTCTGAAAATAAGATTAAAATTAAAGAATCCTCCAGTGTTCTCGCAAGTAGGGCAAAATTTGTGATCTTTACTTACTGTTATGTAAATCTTCTAAAACTGGTGGTTGTGAATCTGGCTTACAGGGGTTAAGACTACAGAAAGGAAGAAAATCTTGAGGAATGTTCAGAGTAATGGATATTACAGTCAGCAAAAGGAGGCTGTTCTGCACAATATGTACGTTTAGGTGATAGGTTAATGATGCCATAGAACTCTGCCTTTTTATATTTTTTCCCCTTGATTTTTAATGAGGGCTGATGTTTTAGAAATGGCCAAGTTGAATTCGTAATCTTTGTTTTAAAGAAAAATCTCGCTAAATACCATTGCAACACAAAAGGAGCATGGAAATGGTTCCCCAGGCTTGCTTGAACTGTGAGGTTTTATTGTAGTCTGTGTATTCAAAGACAGGCCTCATTGGCAGTTTTCTGGTTTCATAAAGAATGGAGTTTTAATGACCTTGGAAAAATCTCCATGGCCTGTATCTCCATGGATCGTGATGGCAGCGCCTCACCTTCGAATGTGAAGTCTGGTAGAGGTCAGGTGAAGAGATTCAGATTAGAGAACTGCATGTAGTCAATATTATTCACTAATTAGTACGTCAGCTTCATAGAACTGCACAGTTAACTCCAGTGCAGAAATCTTCTGTTTCAAATGAAGTGTAACAGCCCTCCCCACCACCACTGCTATGATTCAAATATGGGGTAACATGGTCAGAACTGCAGTCGAAGTCACTTGCTGGTGCTTTGTGCCTGGAATGATAGAATGATACTTGAACTGTGTTTCGTTTTCATTTTTGACTGGTAATAATTGTAAGGACTGGCAATCCCTAAAATAATGTACTGTGCAGTGTGTGGTGCAGAGAAATTTTATTGGCCCCATAAGCTGTGATGAGAGAGAGTCACCTAATCAGTAATATATATTGATATTATCCACCGTTTACCTAAAGCTTTTACTTGTAAAGACTTGTTGTATTAGCATTAAAATCCTTTTGGACCTGTGCAAAGGCAATAGCATTTTCTCTCTCATGGTGATGAAAATGCTAGTAAAAAAAGAGATAAACAAGGATGTAAAGTAAGTTTTGTGGACAACTGTTATAAATTGTTGTGCAGTGTTGAATTTATGGAAGTTTTATCTTTTGCCTCAAAAATGGAGCCAGAAATCTCACCGTGGTTAAATAATTGGCAGCTACGTCCAGCTGTTCGTCATGAAATACAAGAAAAAGCCCAGCTCTGATATAACAGTCCGGGCAGCTTGTTATGCTGCTGCTTTACAGACTTGCTCCCTTTAAGAAGGTTGTTGCTTTAATGACTTCTTAAAATATTTTCTTCCCTTTTCCCCTTTGTGGTATGAAGGGAGATGGAGTGTTTAGCTGCAGGAAAATTTAGATTAAATTGCATTTTTATACACTTTTTATTGTTTACTAAGGCTTGTTTGCATTTTAGCACACTCTCATGGGTGAGACTATTCTGCAGGATTTAAAAATTACTGGTGTTTTTGCTGTTGTTTTTTCTTCTTTATTTCTCTCTATTCTTTCCCACCAGAATGGGCGTTTCCACTGTATTTAATACAAGACTTTGGGCCGCCTTGCCAGTATAATTCCTCTATATGTATTTCCATTTAGAAATCGATTCTCCTCATTTTGTCCAAGTCTTCGCAGACATTAGCTGTGCTGTAACTGCTGTAAATACAGCATGGACCTTTAGCTATAATAAGCAGTGTGGTTTCTGGTGTCTGATATATCAGGAGAATATACAACTGAATATCAGGCAAGGGCTTTAAGAACTTTGAAGTGGAAAAATTTCCCATTTCTCTTTCCGGGGTGTGGAAATGTCAAGAGAGTAACTTAAACTTGATCAGCTTTGGGAATCCACCCATCTGAGTGTATTCTTGGTAGTTAAAAGTTGGATTCATAATGGCTTTCATTTCTTTTAAAAGTACACTTAAATGCATTAAACAGCCTCATAATTAGCTGTTCAGATGGCTGGTGAGTAATAATAAAACAAAGTATTTGGGGTTCTTAGTGTGTGTATATACAGATTGGTGCAGTCATCAAGCATTTGCTTGACAAGGGTTATTTTGGAGCACACACTTCCTCACTAATTAAACTTCTTACATTAGAGATAACTGAGAACAATTCTCCATTTATTGATGGGAGAAGAAATGATAACATTTCAAATTCATGTTTTCTTGGGTGTAAGGCAATGCCTGATATCCTATCTGAAGAATTTTGTTGCAAAATCTTATTTAATTGCCTTCTACTCAATTAAGTTTATCATATACTCCTCTTGTCCCATCCTTGCCCCGGAAATAATTATATGAAGCCAAAAATCATAGAATGCTCAAGGTTGGAAGGGACCTCTAGGGATCATCTAGTCCAGCCCCCTGCACACGCAGGGTCACCTAGAGCACGTGGCACAGGACTGC